CCCTCTCTCTCTCTCTCTCTCTCTCTCTCTCTCTCTCTCTCCTCCCATCCCATCCCCTTCTCCCCGCTTCTCTGCCTCTCTATCTGTATCTCCTTCTCTCTTCCTGCCTCTCTCTCCTCTTCTGCCACTCCTGTCCCCAGGCGCAGGTCTCCCTTCTCCCCTCCCCCCTTTTCCCATTCACTTCCCTCCAATAAAAACCCCTCCACCCAAGCTCTGTGCATGGCTTCTTTCTGCTTTTTTTTAGAATTGTGAAATCTAAAGCTGTGCCTTTGAAGACTATGTCCTGCTGCCAACCACTTCTTTCCCTCCTTCCCTCTCCCTCTTTCTCTCTCTTCCCCACTCCTCTTTCTTTGTCTCACCTTGTCCCAGCCAACCCATAGGGTAGACAGCTCTGCTCTACCCCAACTGCTACATGACATGCAATGAAGCCACATGGACTGAAGCCTGGGAAACCGTGAGCCAAAGTAAATCTTCCCTCCTTTACATTGATTTTTCTCAAGTTTTTGTTTTTGTTTTACCATAGGTAAAAGAAAACCAACCAAATTCCCTCCAGAGTGTTGGGGGAGCATCGGGCTTCCTTTCACATCCAAACTATGCCTGGAATAGAGCCTGAGACAGAAGATGTGGGGTGTAAAACAGTGTCTCCTATCCCCCAAAGATCTGTGTCCCCATCTAAAAATGACAAGATCTGACCAAGGGGTTTTGGAAATCCCTGGGGCCATGCAAGGGCAGGGCTCCACTGGTTTCTTTTCTCACTGCTGTGACTAAACGCACAAGTGACAGGAGCCTTGAAGGAACAGGGAAGGCAGGGAAGGCATGGCCACAGGTGGGTCAAAGCCATGGCAGCACCAAGCTGGGAGCCCTTAGCAACTCACATTTCTGCAGAACGGGAAGCACACATTAGACAGACATGGTGGGGGGCCATAAACTTTAAGGCATACCCCACTGCTGACTACCCACTTCCTCCAGCTAGGCTTCACCCCCTAACCGTTCCACAACCTCCCAAAATCATTGCCACCAGCTGGGGACCGAATGCTCAGTCGCATGAACCTGTGGGGAGGGGCATCTTAGAACCAAACCATAGGGCACAAAGGCTAGCAGCACAGTGAGAGGACACCCCCAATAAACAGGGCCGACCCCTCTCCTTCTGGAGAACCCAGAACCAGGCACAGACAGCACCCGGGAAGCTCCAGGCCACCAGAGCAGCCTTCCCAATTCACTGCAATGAAAAGGGAACAAAAGGGAGCTCTCTTCCCTGCCACACAAGGGCCACCTGTGACTACCGCCTGGCAGCCAGCCCCTCTGCCAAGCCTCTCCATCAGCCTACTGTGCCCACTACAAAGCCTTCCGTTGCCCCTGAGGAGGTGGCCACCAACAAACATCTCTCTTTCGGTCTCCCCAGTTAAACCCTCTAATTTACTCTAGAGAGGCAAATGAACAGGTTAATTAGCCTAAAGGTCTCTCAGTGCCAATTAGCACCAGGGAATTTCCTCTTTGTGGGCATCACCCTAGCTTTCCTTCCCCGGTCCCTGAGGATGCTTGATGGCAGGTGACTGTAGTGATGGGGTAAAGAGTTGGGGCAGGGATCTCGAAGCTCACACTGCTCCTCCCTGGGGTGCCTGAGTAGAGCAGTTAGCTCTGCCCATTCATGCACAAAGATCTCAGGACAGCTCAGAGAAGCCACTTTCCTCCTTCCTGCTTCCAATGAATTGGGGTTTTTGTTTTTTAGGGCTTCAAGGGGTTTTTTGTTTGTTTGTTTGTTTGTTTCCCACCCAGACTTCCAAAACCTAGACTTGGTGCCTAAATGTGTCTTTTCCCAGCTGTGTGACTTGGACCTATTACCTAATCTCGGAGCCTGGTTCCTTCAGCACTGAAACAGGCCTCCGTGCTAAACGCCAGTAGAAGCTGAGCATCCTCCAACTGGGACTTGATTCTGCCCTGACTTGCACCTGTGTCTACCCTTGGCGCTTGGCAGGGGAAACCCTGCGGTGTGTGGGGTGGGGGTGGGGGGGTTGGTGTCCCAGCTGCCTGGGACTAGCATCTGAATTGAGACAGACAGAGACTGAGGAAGGAAGAAGGCAGGTCAGAAAAGTTATAATATTAGAGGCACTCACCTTGCCTCTATCTAGTCTGCTTCCTTGGTAAGGAATTGAGTGAGGCCCAGATGCCCAAGGAGTTTCCAGCCAAGGGCAAAGCTGGGATCCTAGGGAGCTCAGGTTTTGTTTCCCAGACATGTGTCTCAAGACATTCCCAGACATGGAATGCTAAGCAGCAGGACCAGGATTCATTTTGAGACCAAGGGGGAAAAATATCAAAAACAAAGTTTGTATGGGTTAGACGACGACTGTCTTCTCTGCTCATTTACATCGTTCCTCTTCCACTAAAAGATGAGTTGGCAGGCCTGGCTAGTTATAACTAACCCAGGTGCCATCTGGAATATTAAAGTAGGGGCTGGGATACATAGACCCTAGGGAAACATAGTGCAGAAACCAGCCCGGCCAGCCCGGCTGCAACGGTGAGTCATGGAAGCAAGATAGGCAGGGGACAGAAAGGAGCCTGCCAGCACAGGTGCCATCTCCAAAGGCCAGGCCCTGGGTGGCTTAAAATCTAGAGAGGAGCAGGACACCCCCAACCCACACCAGGGTATTGGGAAGGCTAGTGGGGAGCCAGCTGGAGGGGGGACAGAGACATTAGGGGATTGGTGTCCCTGTGATTCCACAGAAGCAACAGGCTCTTCCCTGCACTGGGCCTTGTAGACTGAATTCACAGCCTGTTCTTACTTTCTCTAGACCGACTACTCAATAATTTCATTATCTGGTGATTCCCAGCAACACAGCTTGCCCTATCTGTGAGCCCATGCCTACCTCAGAAAATACAATACTTACCATTTGCCTTCTTGGGTATGAGAGCTAATCCGAAATTTCTCTTCTGGTCCTTAAGCTGACTTCCTCACCAATCATACTCAAAGGCCATTAGCTAGTTGTGACTATCCCTGGTCCCTTATTTGCTACATGCATTAACCCTCCGAGGAGTCTATAGTACCTTTTTTTTTATGGTTTTTAGAGACAGGGTTTCTCTGTGTAGCTCTGGCTGTCCTGGCACTCCGTCTGGAGACCAGGCTGGCCTCGAACTCACAGAGAACCGCCTGCCTCTGCCTCCCGAGTGCTGGGATTAAAGGCGTGTGCCACCAACGCCCAGCTATAGTACCCTTTTTTAACAGATTAGGAGATGGACTCTCAGCCAGGTCCCAGTGATGGAAGACTGGCCCCACAGCCTGGTGACTTGGTGGACATGTTCTTCAACCACTAGCAAAATTCCTTGAGTCTGCATTGGTCACTTCTAAGGTGCGTTGTAGCATGTTGGTCTCAGCAGTGCCCATAACCAGTACCTAACCCTTCCCTAAAAGTTTAGAAAGCACTTTCACAGGTGGGCTGCCCCTGCCCCGCCCGAGTATGTAGTACAACAGTCCCCATTTCACAGCAAAAGAACCATCCGGGGAGATGGTAGGATGGTGTCCTGCTTTCCAAAGCATCCTGCTGGCGGGCATCAACATGTGGCCATGGCTCCCTAACTCACCCTGGGCTCTAAGACACATAATGTGTTTAGTTACAAGGATAGAAAAGACAGGCACTACCCAGGTGCCCCCCTGGTCTGAGTCGTACTTGTACCGAATGAGGTGCCCCCAGCCAAGACCCACACAAGGGCTTCTCTTGATACTGAGCAGAATGTCACAGCCTGCACTTAGGTGCATTTTGCCAAGGGTCTGACGTCTCTATGGGAGTCTCCCAAGCCGGCAGGGACTTCACTGATCTGGTTCCCTTTGGCTTCTCTCTGCTGGGGTGGGAGGGACTCCTAAAAGTGCCCCTACATGCTGCAAAGGAGAGCAGAAGAGATGACGAATGGCATGCTGCGCAAACCTTGCTAGCTTAGCCCGTCAGCGTTTTCACGCGTCCTAAAGGGTTGTTGAACCGATCCAAGGAAGCCAGGACCGACAGCACTTCGCTTAGAGACGGGTGGGAGAGTAGGTTGCCAGGGCTGAGCTCGAACTTCAGTGAGGTAGAGACAAGGGCGGGGCAACCAGGGTGCAAGGAACCAGGGATACGGCGCTCTCGGGGTGGGTTTCCCAAGATGCTAGAAGTGGTTTCAGCAAGGCTCAGCGCAGTGCAGT